CTACATTGCGCGATCGGTTTGCGCCCGTGTACCATTGCTAATATGCAACAGATATGAGAACGAGCCGGTGGTTAAAGTGTTGAACTCCGAGCCAATAGGTCGCGGGTTTAAACCTCAGGAGTTGTTGTAAAACCAGGGTTTGGGTGTGACTAATTGATGTCCTCTAATAAGTCAGAATTGGCCGTTCCAGTCTCCCTTCTCTTTGTTGGTTATTTCATTCCGCCTTTAATACTAGCCGTTGTTCGGCTGTATGCAGAGTTCGTGAGTTAGCTCTAAGACAAACCGTGGAATAGTATGTACAATGTCCATTCAACTCGCATCGTATTTGTTCGTTTAGTAATGTCCCTCATGAAATTTATAATGTAGTCCAGATCTATTACGGACTATTATGGGAACTATGGGATATCTTCGTAATGGCATACAAGACTGTATGCTTTTCTTTATATAGAAAGCATGCAGCTTGTAGACTAAAATCCTTAAACGCTTGAAGGTTTTCGCAAACCAGAAAACTTTTTCCGAAATCTAAAAGTTCTTTTCTTTTAAATGTGAACTTTGAAAAATGCGTGAACTGCTTCCAAATTAGTACAAAACAAAGGATACTTTTCGGCATATTCTCTATAAACTATATTTAAATTTCTAAGGCCATCCAAAATCGCCAGAAATAATGCATGCTACTTAATTGTTTTTTAACGAGTGCAGTTTTTGCAGGTAGCCGAAAAGACGCGTATTCAAAAGCCGGTACCATAGCGTATCTAAGGTATGATAGGATTGTATCGCACAACAAGCTCATTTCGGAATTTTGGTTAAGATTATACTAGACCGAACGCTGGCTGTAACACCCTGCCCCGTTTTATTGTGACCAGTGACTTTGTTAATTGTCGTATAAAGAATGGCAGATAGGCGCTCGCCGATCTCGTTACGGGACTCACTCGTCCCGCCTGGTGCCTTTGGTGCTCATTCTCGAGTCCCGCCAGCAGCCTCGCAGCGGCTAATGATATACGCATAAGGTAATTGCCAGCATGCTCCTATTACTGTTTGCGCGATGTCAGACGAGAAGCTGCCTTCTGTTGTCATGTTGCCAAAAGCTAGATTTTTTTCCGCCCCAGACGTTTTGTTTCAATCCAAAAAAGGA